GTGTTGTGTTGTGTTGTGTTGTGTTGTGTTGTGTTGTGTTGTGTTGTGTTGTGTTGTGTTGTGTTGTGTTGTGTTGTGTTGTGTTGTGTTGTGTTGTGTTGTGTTGTGTTGTGTTGTGTTGTGTTGTGTTGTGTTGTGTTGTGTTGTGTTGTGTTGTGTTGTGTTGTGTTGTGTTGTGTGGGTGCATGTACACACTGGCGTGCTAGATCATCACCACCGCCAGCGCAATCTCACCCTTGTCACGTCCTTTCCTCTTCTCCCTTCTCTCCTTCAATCCTCTCCCCCCCCCTCCTCAATTCTTCAGCCACTTCTCGCCTGCTCCGCGCCACCAAGTATCGCAGCCGGTTGCCGGCCCCTTCCACGCCACGTCAACGCCAATGTACGCGTCGTGCGCTGTTTGCTGCCGTGCAGCCGTGTTTGTGTGTGGGCACAGGGGGGGGGGGGTACCTGATTTCCTTGTCTTGCATTGTGTGTAAGGTTTCATTCTGTTCCGCTCACGGTGGTTGTCGTGTTTGATGCTTGCATTCACGTGCGTATGTGTTCGACTCATCAGGGCGGGGGCGGCGCGGGCGAGCAGTCTTCGCGTCTCAGCGTGAGTGGTTGCGTTTGTGGTGTTGTGTTGCCTTGGTGTGCACGTAGCGTCAGCTTATGGCAAGCATTTCCTTCACTGTGTTGCTCTCGAATGCTTTCGTAACAGGTCACCGGGCTCGCTGCTCACAAGAGCCAACGCAACGGGTTGACGACACGCACACACACACACACACACACACACACACACACACACACACACACACACACACACACACACACACACACACACAAACACACACGCACACACACACACACACACACACACACACACACACATGAACACATGCCCACGTGCACACATTCACGCATTCTTAACGTTCACGCTGCCGTGTCCTGCGTTGGATGATGTTATTTCTGTTGACACCAACCTCATTTGCTGGTTGCGTACTGAGGTTGTGGTTGTTTTTCTTTCTGTTGTTGCTTCTGCGTTAATGGCAATAAAGGACGCGCGTACACTCGAGGGGACTGCAGCACTTCACGTGCATGTGTTTGTGTGTGATGGAGAGTCGTCGTGTCACACTCTTTCCTTTGCAAACGTGCTTTGGTGATTCTGTCGTTGTTTGGGACAAAATGTACTCACTCGTCATGGATGCGTGCAACATAATATGGCCAAGGAAGCAGCGTGTGCTTTGGGCTTGAAGACAAACCAACACAGCGCCCGCGACAGAAAACAGAAGACGTACATGTGCAAGAAAGAGCGCATATGGGCAGATATGGGCGTGTATGGGGGCGCGTTTTGGTTGGGTGTTCATTTGAGAGGGAAATCAAATTGGGAAGACGCAATGACAAAACGTATTGAAAAGGCATCCATGAGAAGACAGCATGACAATGTGCGTGTCAGTGAGAGTGAGAATTCGTGGGTGGGGGGGGGGTGGCAGCATGCGGGGGTGTCAGCGGAAGTAGATGTACCCTTCCTTGTCCGGTGCGCCAGCCCAGTCGTTGGCCTGCAGGGGTGGTGGTGGTGGTGATGGTGGTGGTGGTGATTGGGGGACGGGGTTAAGAAGGCGGATGGGTGTGATTCAGCATATGGAGGCGAAGAGATGTTGAAGAGAGTTTCAGGCGGACGTGTGCAGGTGACAGGCAAGCACCTACGTTGTTTCTGTCGTTGGTGTTTGCTCCAAAGTTGTGCCTGGTGAGGTGATTGGGGGGGGGGGGATGCATGTGTGGGTGAGGTCAAATGGAAAGAAGTAACGCACAGATCCAGACACAAGTAAACGCTAACGCAGGTAGACAGAAAGGCAGGCGTACACACGCACACACACACACATACACACATACACACACACACACACACACAAACACACACACACACACAAGCACGCACACACACACGCGTATTCATGCCCTTGTTATATCCTGCATCGTACCAGAAGCAATCTCTGCAGTACACAGCGCATTTCACGAATGAGTGAGCGGAAGTGCATATGCGTTTGAGAACAAGTGAGGGTTCGCTAAGTGGCGCCGCTCACATCATTTCGAAAGAGCCCAACCCTCTGTTCACGTCTTCCTCGCTATCACCACGACAACCACACCGAAACGCCGACGACGACCACCCTACCACCATCATCTAACGTTATCAACCATCATGATCATGATGAATCGCCTCCTCACCCGCCGCCGTTGTGCCGGGCCGTCGGTCCCAGGATGACGCGGTACTGCTGGTTCCCGCCGTACATGTTGTTCAGTCCGCCCCACGTGAACGAGAACGAGCAGCTCTGCCACGTCGCATCCTGATGCGACGAGTACTGGCACGACGACCACGCAACGTTCTGCTCAAGGTTGCGGCAGTCCTGCAGGCGGTGGTTGTTGTACACGCCATATGTCATCGGGTCGTCGCCCCAAGTGATGCGCACGTGCTCGCCGGCTCCATACGCAGCCCCGCCCCCGCCAGCATAGTGGATCAGCATTTGCCTGTGGCAATTTGGTGTCGGTGAGGAAAGGGAGGGGAGGAGAGGGTATGGTGTTAGCACTCACCATGAAGCAGGTGGTGTCAGCAGAGTGGATTGGGCGCAGGGAAACATGTGGCAGAAGGGGAGCAGATACACGAGGACAGACACAAAGCGGTGCAAACAAATAAGCACGCGCTGACGTTGTTGGCTGGGTGTTGAACCAGAGGCCGGAGAATGAGTTGTAGCCAAGACTCGATGCGTCCACCATGGCGTTGGCATCCGTCACAGGGAACTCTGTGATTTGCCTGGAACGCACCATTGGAGGCACCAGTGGAGGCACAAGGGGACAATGAGCAATGATTGGGAGAATGTGAAGAAATGTCCTCCCACCACCGCCACTGTCAGAGAATCATCATCATCACCACCGCCGCCAGCAGCGTACTGGTCGTTGAGGTGCGCTGTGCGTGTCCACCCGCCGCCGTCCGTCTCCATGTCGCAATACACGTCAAGCGTCGCCTTGCGCGTAAACCCGGCAGGCCCTGTCGGTTGGGACGGAGGAGGGGGGAAGTAAGTGGTGATGTGTGTGTGTATTTGTGTGTGTGTGTGTGTGTGTGTGTGTGTGTGTGTGTGTGTGTGTGTGTCGTACG